TTTTATTGATTTTTTTACAGAGAGAAAGGGAAAGGGATAGAAAGTTAGAAACATCGATGAGAGAGAAACATCGATCAGCTGCCTCCTGCACACCCCCTACTGGGGATGTCGGGCTGTGCAGTTTAGAGCTTGAGCTGTACCCTGTCCCCCTGGAGTGTTATGGGACCCAGGGGACCGTCAACCAGGAGAGACTTGCCCTGATCCGGGCTGAGCTGACAGGGACACTGAGGGAGTTAGGACAGCCCAGGAGCATTCTGCTTGCCACCAAGCACTGCAGTGAGTTTTATGACGTAGCATTTTCATGACATGGAGCCCGTGGTGTGACCTGTAGTGACCCTGCTCACTGGGTGCACCCAGCAAAGGCTTCTTTCTGGGCCTTTGGAAGCTGAAACCTCGGACCGGGGTGCATTATGCAGGGGGCACCCACGTTTCAGGTTCATGGTCCGTGTGAATGGGGAAAGGGACGGACCCAGCCCGGGTACAGGATTGCAGGGACAAAGGCTGGGGAGTTCATGGGACCTCAAAGGCAAAGTGTCCTACAATCAGAAACATGAATCTGATTTGCGTGGGGAGGGATGCAGGATTTGGGCTCGAGGTGCCTGTGTGGGAGTTAATCCTGGGGTGGATGGTTGTAATGAATGATCAGAAATAAAGACAATTTCAAAAGCCACCATCTGGTCCTCTGTCATGTATTAACCTTTCTCCCCAGTTTACACCTCAGGACTGTCCAGTTACTGATTAAAGAAATGTGCCCAGGGGTCAGGATCAGACACTGGAGCTGCTGGGATGGGCTGCAGGATTCTGCACCATTTTATCACTCCCTCAGGTCTTTCCTTCTCTCTGGGCACCTCTGCCTCCTTGTGGCTGCTCAGTGGGGGGATACCATGGGACATGCTACGTGGCCCACCAACCCCTGAAGTGAAGGGGACTCGCTGCTGGTTCTGACCTTGGACGCGAGTGGTCCTCATGGTTCTGCAGAGGAACCCACAAGTCTTAGCACTTGTTCCAGGAGGATTTCAGAGGACAAGGCAGGGCCCTCTCTGGGCACCTCTGCCTCCTTGTGGCTGCTCAGTGGGGGGATACCATGGGACATGCTACGTGGCCCACCAACCCCTGAAGTGAAGGGGACTCGCTGCTGGTTCTGACCTTGGACGCGAGTGGTCCTCATGGTTCTGCAGAGGAACCCACAAGTCTTAGCACTTGTTCCAGGAGGATTTCAGAGGACAAGGCAGGGCCGTGGGTTGAATCTATAAATAATTCCTGCATTAAAAGTGAATGCAAGAACGTTAAAAGCATGCATCCAATTCACTTCAAAGTAATACATCCAATACATATTATTAACCTTTTCCAATAAAAAGTAAGTATATATTTTTTCAAAACAAAAATAATTGGTGAGAAGAGTGGCAATGTTTGTAAATTTTTCCATCTGCTGCTGCATTCAATGTGTTGTGATATCACAGGTGGTCTGGAGTGGGGGGCGGGGGGAGAAAGAGAGTGAAAAGGCAAATTCCCCCACTCCGGTATTACTACAGAAATGGTATGGCCAGGGGTCCCTGGACACACTCTGAGAACCGCTGCCCTCTCCAAAGCGACCCCATCTGCTACGAAGGCCCGGGCCCTGCGCGTCTACGGCAACAGTTCCCCATCCTCATCCCCCTTCTCCACGTTGTGTTCCCACAGTCCCGTTACTACAGACGGACTGTGCGTCGCCCAGGGCTTGGCCCATCTGCCACCTCTGCGCCTCTCACCCCGCACAGGTCTACTTGGTTCGAAGATGACCCGCACGGACCCTCATTTCTCAGGCCCGAGACGTGAACATCAGCATCTGGATGGAGACTGAAGGCCCCGCGCACATAAACAAAGCTGCGCTTCCTAGAACCGTCCCGTTCGAACCTCCGAGTCTGGGGCTCCAGGAAACTCGGGCAGGAACCCGCATCAGCTCACAGGTCCCGAGCCTGCCCTCCACGCTGAGCACAGCCAGCCCTCCAGGTGTCTCCGGGGTCCGATCCGCCTCGGGCCACCCCGGCTCGCGTCCCC